AGTATTAAAATCATTTGATTCGAAAATCAAGTTAGGATGTTTTGCGATTATATCATTGCAATAATTTTGAAGTGCTTTAAAATGAGTTTGAAAACGTGAACTGTAAATTTTTGAAAAATTTAATTTTAACCAAGAAGGATGATTTTCAATAAGAAAAGTCTGAAGTCTTGCGGTTAGTTCTTCAAGTTGAAATTGATTTGCAGTCAACAAATGATCAAAAATAATAGAAGTTTCGACTTTTCAAGATTTATTTTAGCTCCGTAAATATATCTATTAAATATTTATTAAATTAGATTAAAATAGATTATAAATATTTTCAAATTTTAATAACCATTAAATTTATTAAATTTATTAAATTAGATATATGTATCTTTAAAATTTACACCTAATTTATTAATAAAAGTTTATTGGAGCAAGACTCCGTTGGATTTAAAAAAATTTTATTAAATTAGCATTTACTTTATAATAATAGCGAAAATTTTAACAGATAATTGGGATTTTTGAATAATTCTAATATTATCATCGTTACTTATGGTTGATTTTTTAAATTCATCATAGAGATAATGACATCGGTAACACAAAATTGTTGAATGAACTTTGAATGGTTGCATCATTGAATATTCGCCAACTTCGTTAATAACATTATGTCATCTCCATTTTCAAAAAGTTTAATAAAATCATTTGATAAATTTTCAAAAAAATTTAACGCCATACTTAAAAGAGGAAACAAAGGAAAGAAGTAAAAGAAAAGTTATAAGGTGGTAGTCTTTTTCAATTTCAATTAAAACGTAGTACAAATATTTGTCCATTGTTTCACATTTTGTGCCCATTTCTTTTAACGCCCTTTCTTCTTTTCCGACTACGTATAAAGTTTTTTTTTTTTACGAAAAAAGTAAAGATGCAATTATAAAAAAAAGAAAAAAATGTCCTTAAAATTTTTTGACAAGTTATCTCAAAATTTTATTGGGCTACTAATGATAAAGATGATTATAATGAATGTAATCATTGAAATTGAAAACAAGGAAAAATCATTTACGGCAACATTAAAATCGATCACCATATTTCCGTTATCATTATTAAGTCAAATTTTCAAGTTATTATCAATAATAAAATACTATCATTTATATTTTATTATTAAATATTAATTATTATTTATTTATTTTCGTAGATATATATGGAGGAATTATTAATATTGAAAAAGTAGAAGTCAGATTCATTTTTTATTTAAGAAAATTACTAAAGCTTACCAGTGGTGATTGTTACCGCTGGATTTACGTGGGCAAAGTTAGGGTTAGGGTTGGGTTGATCTGGTGGTGACAATTACCACTAGTAATATCTGATTTAATGTTAGAATTTGAACTTTTTGAATTAACTAACCAATTAGAAACTCATCTCATTGATATTAAAGCTTCTTTGTTAAAAACATATTTTTCTATAATTTTTCTACCATTACCATATTTAACAAAACAAACTTTAAAAAATTAGAAAAATTATTATTGTAACGCATCCGAATATAATTTTCGAAAACCAAAATTTATTTCTCTGTTTGCACTGGTGTATATTCTCGAGCGAGATAATTTGTAAATGGAAGAGCTTAAAAATTTGGAATTATTTCATCAAATCGGTTATTTCACTCTACCTATAAACCTTGAAGAATGGTCCAAAGAAAGTTTTCTTACGTTAAAAACCATCTTACAACAATGCATTCCATATATTCGTTACTTTGATCTTTCAGCTGATGAAGTCTTAGGTTCAATCAAGCCTTATAAGAAAATTATTGATTAACAACTTGGAAAGATATCAATTATCATTTACCATCTTCTAAAAAATCAGTTAAATCAATTATTTTGCAATCAATATTCACCTTGGTTACTGAATTACCTCCTCGTGCAGAAGTACCTTTTTCAACGATAATTCTGAATAACATGCAGCAGAAATTTCTAGTTGGATTGATCACAAAAACAGCTACTTATTCAACAATAAATAATCCATATGAATTTGAATCAATTTCGAGAGGAACTAGAGATAGGCTTGCTCCACAAACGTTTTGGAAATTTGTCATGGTTATGCTAAATCAGTTGTGGAAGTCAAAGTTAAAGGGACTGATGAGATACTTGGAGGTTGTAATCCTTAGCATGAGATTATACTTTTGATCACCTATGCGAGATGGATTTATAGTGAAAACAAAGAGATAGTTTTATTTTCTCATTAAAAAAATGGTAGCATTAAAAATTCTATTTTTAACAGAGTAAGAAATACAAAATGTGCAACTTTAAATGTATCCAAATGGAATCAAGATAAGTATGGCCCAAGTTTTGTAGATTTTTATTTATAGTGAAAAATCTGATTTCACTTTAGATGATAGGAATTACTGAATATAAATGATAATAATAATAATTACGAAAAATTTATAAGAAATTCATTTACACCATTTTACTTTCTATTGTAAATTATGAAGTATTTATATGAAATTAATAATGAATACATTTTTATTTTTTTTTTTTAAATATTTTATATATAATAAATTAAGTAGACATATTATGATACAGAAAGATTGAAATTATCATTTCTTTATTTATCTTAATGCTCAACTATTAGAACCAGGTATTTCTTTTCTACTTATTAGATACCAAAGATATTTGCTACCATTCGTTATGAAAGGTATCTAACGTCAAATAATGTATGTATTTCTGTAGATCCTAAAGTAGTTGCAACACAACGTTGTAATTCACGATATAATTATATAATGAAAATAAAAATAAAATATCCTTCAAAAAAAAAATATCAGCTTACGATGCAAAATTTGATTCCAGATAATAAAATATATAATACTTTGTTTAAATACATTAAATATATTGAAAAAACTATTGTTGAATTCAAATATTTTTTCTTTTGCTAATTTGAAAAACTTCATAATCATCTATAGGAAATCCACCAATTGATTCTCTAATTGATTTTTCATAGCTTTGAATATCATAAATGCAAAATAATCGACTTCCATCCATAATCAAATCATTGTCAAAATTTGTACCATATTTAGAATTATTACAAATAGCTCGACTGGGATTTTTTACACGACTAAGAATAGAATTTTTGATATTTCTATTTTTTAAAGAAAAAATAAAACTGTTATTAGTTTCGGAATATTGATTATATAAAGTGGAATTCCAACCAATAGGATTGTAACCACCAACAATCTCATCTGTATCTTTAACTTTTGCAACAACAACAACTTTTGTTTTCTGATCACATAAATTCCAAAATACATTAGGTTCAAATCCATCTCTGCTTCCACGAAGTATAAGATCGAATTCATATGAACAATTATAAACATCATACTCCACTTCTTTCTTATCAACCCAAGATGCGATTTCAGCTGCTTGTTCAATATTAATAATAGAAGATGTGAATAATTTACGAGGTGGTAAAATTGTTGAGGTAATAGGTTTGCTTGGAGCAATGGAATATTTTAAAATATCAGCCCATAATTCTTCATCAAGAATTTGTCGATATGGAAATACTTTTTCCATAATATTTTCACCAGAGATTTGAAAATATCGAATGTGAGGTAAACATCGTTGTAAAGTATTTTTTAAAATTTGAAAATCCTTGCCATCATCTACAGTTTTATTTTGAGAAATTCCCCATTGAATTACGTAATCCCAAATTGTGGATTCTTCGAGTTGCAAATCATCCCTTTGAATAATAGATACCAAAGCTGCTTCTGGAAGAGTATTAAAATCATTTGATTCAAAAATCAAGTTAGGATGCTTTGCGATTATATTGTTGCAATAATTTTGAAGTGCTTTAAAATGAGTTCGAAAACTTGAATTATAAATTTTTGAAAAATTTAATTTTAACCAAGAAGGATGATTTTCAATAAGAAAAATTTGAAGTATTGTAATCAATTCTTCAAGTTGAAATTGATTTACCGTCATCAAAAGATCAAAAATAATAGATGTTTCAACTTTTTCAAGATTGACCGTGGCTCCATAAATGTATCTATTAAATATTCATTAACTAAATTAATATTTATTTTATTGAATATTTTAGTAATATTGATTAAATAATTAGAACTTACTTTATAATAATATCAAAAATTTTAGGAGATATTTGTGATTTTTGAATAATTCTAATATTGTCATCGTTACTGATAGTCGATTTTTTAAATTCATCGTAGAGATAAGGACATCGATAACACAAAACTGTTGAATGAACTTTAAATGATTGCATCGTTGAAGACTCTCCAACTTCGATAATAACATTATGCTCATCTCCATTTTCTAAAAGTTTAATAAAATCACTTGATAAATTTTCATAAAAATTTAATGCCATATTGAAGAGAAAGATAAAGTGGTCAAAATGGTCAGATGATAAAAAGTTTTTAAAATAAAGTTAATTATAGTGTGACGCATATACTTTTTTTAGAAATTAATATAAGTTAAATCCGATAGTATAATACGGATTTAGAAAAAATGGGAATGAAATCCGTAGCGCAAAATATGCATGACAATGGTGATTATTCAAATTACGCAAGTTACATTCATTAATTTTTTCTAATTAATCTCATGACATAAATTTACAATTAGTAACCGAATTTTATAATGGTATAATTAATTATGAAAAGTTTATGAATTTAGTAATGATTTTAATAATAATGATGAGAATAATAATGATGATATAATAATATAGCATTAATTATGGGTAAGGATGATAATAATTAATAATAAATGATATTAATCCAGTAGATGTTATCGAAGTAGAATTACTGTATAATCATTCAAAATCATAAATTCATTTACTATGTAAATTTAAAATAATTTAAAAATTTATTATTATCACTCATCATCCTTATTACAAATGAATACTAATAAAAATAATAAAACTATATTATAAATAAAAATAACTGATAATTGATTCTATAAAAAAATTTTAATATTTGTTAATATAATATTATCTACATTTTCCTCCTCCACATTTTCTTTCTTCTCGTAATTTTCTCACACCTCCTCTTCCCCTTTCTGATTCTCCACCTCGTGATTATTAACAATCAAAGGATTGTATGTTCTTTGATCGTGAGAATGAATAGCTGCATAAATATTTAATGCTTTACTGGTAGAATCAGGTAATTTTTTTCCACTTATTAAAAACCAAATATATTTACAAACAAATTTAATTTCACTATAAAGATCTTTGGGATTAAATGCATCCAGAATTCCTTTACTTATTGGTGTTTGAATATGTTTTCTTTCTTCATCTCCCATCTTCTTTCCAAATTTATCACTTATATCTCGATATTTACGATAACCAAATGCGTATAAATATAAAATTGCAAACAATAACATTTCGAAACATAACAAGAATGCGTTAAAGCTATGTGATATATTCGCACTTGTCCTAATTATTATTAATCATTTAAAAATTAATAATCAAAAAATTTAATAATTAATCATTTTCATGCAAATAAAATTTAATTAATTAATAGAAGTAAATGAATGAAAAAAATTACCAATATTCGGTTCCTTTAATTACTCCTATATTTACAATAATAAATAATCAATATAATATACAATGATTTCAGTAAAAATATGCGTATATACGTAAAAGTATATTAAAATGCGAATTACTAAAAATTTTAATAAATATAATAAAACTTACCAGCTTCTTCCAACATAGAAAATATTATATTTTGTATTATTGTTAAGAAAATGACCTATTTAATAAATAAATATATATTTATAACGTGTATATAATTGTGCAATATATGTCTATTGAGTGAAAGAATAGAAAGAGATAAATTTACCAATTTTATGCAAAGAAATTTATAAAATGGGTTTTCTTCTTTAATTGCGTCTTTTATAGTCAGATAGAATGTAATCTAGAAATAAAAAAATAAAAAAAATAAAAAAAATAAATAAAAAAAAATAATAATATAATTAAATAAAATTAAATTAATAAAATTGATAAAATTAATAAATTAATAAAAACTTATGATATTAATTATGATAAAAAATAATAAACTCACCAAAGCATACATAGCCGTAGCAACACTAAGAAAACCAATTATAGTACAATAAACTTTAGCGTATCTAAAACTCATACTTCCTTCGCAATAAACTCCTAACGCATTAGTGAGTAAAGCCGTAAACTTTATTATGAGATTTACCACCACATATTGAAGTACTCCCCATTTAATAAATAATAAATGTGAATTACTATTAGGATTATATGTAATACAACAACTTGGGACTGGATATCTCATTTTAACAAATTGTATATCATGATCATTATCATCGTTTTTATTCACATAAAAAATTTTCCTCCGTTTTTCTTCTGTCATATTATCTCCGACATATTGAGTTAATAAAGCAAAAAATGAAAATATTACAAATGCTTCGTAACAACTTCGAATTGTTTCAAAGTATTCACTGTAACGGAGGAAACGATAGGATAACCATGAGGTTATAGAAAAAATTGGAATAAGAAGGATAATTCGAATTATATATCGTTGTTGGTTTGGCTAATTATAATATAATATTTATATTGGATTAGAATATATTTCATAATAAAGATATCTGTATGATTGAATTATATAAAGATCCTTTCCTAAACAATAAAATAAAAAATTCGATACATACTTTATGATAGTTCTGACAATGTTTAAATATTAAATAAAATGATATAATAGTGGAAAATAATGTACATAAACCTGCTACAATCCATCCGATTATCTGAGCTAAAAAGTTATGTAAGTAAAGTGATATGAGGATGAAAATTATTTTGAGAAACAATTATTGAAAAAATTACCATTTAAATTGGGACCATGATCCCAAAAGTTAATATCAGTTTCATTCTTATTATCTGCAGGACACGACATTAATATTATTTGTTTTTTGTTTTTTTTTTTGATCGATCGCTTTTTTTTTTCTAAAAAAAAAATACTTCTTTTATATCTTGAAACAAGTATATAACATGTTTTTATAATTTCCAGTTGATAGTAATCAATTTAGTTGTTATGATCAAGTATTTTTTTTATTCGAATTCAGCTGAAAGGCTTAAAAAAAAATAATTACTATAATTATATCCATCTCTATCAACCTGTATATCTCACGGACAAAAAAAGAGCCACATACATTTGTATCACAATTAATTAATTAAACGTTTGAATTTTAAAACGATTACCGAAAATACTTTTATAAATAATAAATATATACTGTATAATGGTATGTACTAACTAAATGATACCTGCCATAATTATGGGGGTTTCGGAAATTAGCATGGTACGATGGATTTGGTATTATAGCAAATTAGTATAGTACGATTGCGCAATCTAGTAAGGCGAGGTTTCAGAAATTAATATAGTACGATTACGAATTTTAGTATATTTTCGGTAGTACGAATGGAATTATCTTTGTATGTAACTTTTAATTTTCGGAATATTTTAAAAATGTATATTTTTTATTATTATGCTATGTTTATTTTATTATTTATTAAACTTTTTCCAGTTTCCATTTCTTGAGCGTCTTTTTTTCCTATCATTTTTATTTTTATTTTTTTTTGACATTTTAATTAACTTTTTTTATTTCGTTTTTTTCTTTTTTAAATTTTCATTGTTATGCTTTCTAAACCTTTACTATTTTTAAATTTAATTAACATAATTATTACTACAAATTTATATTAACACCTAATTATAAATAAATATTTATAAATATCTTTTCGTGTAATTGACTTGGAATTTTTTTAATTTCCCTTTATCACGTCTCGAACAAGGAACCCCAAATTTATTTTGTGTATCAATAATTTTTAGTGCCTTTTGCGTCCTCTAATAAAATTATATATAAAACAATAATAATTACCAAAAAAATAAAATATAATAATATTAATAGAAACATGTTAAAAATTTAAGTTGTTTTCGTTTATAATTTTTATTGTTTCACTACTTGCCCATAATCTTGAATTTATTTTTGAAGCATTTAGATTTAATAATACAAAACAAATCAGTTTATTTTTAAAAATATTTATATTAAAATTTATTTTTAAAAAAAAAATTATACAGTATAAAAAAAAATTTACCTTTTATTTTTTTTTTCGTCAAATTCTTTTAATGTTAAAAATATATTTTCAATTTCATTAAGAGATGATGCTTCAGGGATATAAATATACAGTAAGTTCTTACCATTTAAAATTCACGACACATGATTTAAAGATAAGTTTCAATAAGTTTCACAATCTAAACATGAGTTTTTTACTTCGTAGAAAAAGGCCCAAAACTTTTTGCTTGAGCTGAATCCAAATCTTCAATAATACACCAATACCTTCTCCATCTATCTATTTAAATTTTTACTATCTTTCCAGTTATATTCTAAATCGCATTAAAACACCTGAAATAATTGTTGATATCCTTCTGTTGAAGTAACATTGGTTTAAGCACGAAATAATAAATAATACAGAAATTAATAATATTAATTTATTTAATACCGTAAAACTAACTTACTTTATGTACAGAGTCATAATAGTTAATTTTCAAATATATTTATATCTCCTTTAATTCGTTTAAAAGTCAAATCAATTTACATATTTGATTTGAATAATTAATTCTTTAGGATAAATATCTAAATTAATAATTAATTAAAATAAAATATTAGTAGATGTAAATAAATATTAAAATATTTAAAATATATAATTTTAATTAATCATTGTATGCACATAGTTATGTACAGTGGGGTATCAAAAGTCACTGGGCAACTAAAAAAATGACTAAATTTAAAATGCTAATTGTAGCATAACGGGTGATCTAAATTGCACAAACTTTTTTTATTAAACTAAAGCTATCATATGACATATTTTGTGTCAAAATTAAATGCTTTTAAATAAAACTGACAAAAAAAAAATTTATTCTTTGAACGTTATCTATATCGGGCTCGATGTTATTAAATATAAATACAACTATCTTACAAGAAATTGTAGAAATTAATAATATCTACAACTTTAATTAGAAAGACTTTTTGTAGTATCTAATGAAAATTTGGACTTTTTTAGGAGTGAATAAAAACGGCCGAAATTTATTAAAAATTTAAAACAAATAAAAAAAAAAATCCGAAAATAATTATCAAATATTTCGACATATAAAAGTTTTTTTTTATTAAAGTAGTAATAAAATTGACACTAAGTAACATTAAAGCTGAGAATATATAGAATCTTATGTAAAGTATTTAGACATATTTAATTAAAATTGAGCAAATAATTAGCGATTAAATTCCAGTTTAAGATCAATTAGTAATATGTTTTATTAATAAATTATGAATATTTATATATAGTAACGTTTGATAGTTATTTTTTTGAATTCAACGGTAAAATGATCGACAATAATGCCTTAGAAATTTGCGCGGTGGGCAAATTTATTGTCGATCATTTTATTTTTGATATTAAAAAAATCTGGAAATAATTATCAAAAGTTACTACATAATAAAGTTCATTATTTATTAATAAAACAACAAATATATTACTAAATAATCTTATAGCTATGAATATGTAGCATAGATTGTAAAGTTTTTAGAATTTTTACTTGCGAATTAAATTTATAAACGGCTGTACGTCGGATGTTCAAAAATTATTCTCTCTAATTTAATCGCTAATTATTTGCTCAAATTTAATTAAATATGTCTAAATACTTTACATAAGATGCTATATATTCTTAGCTTTAATGTTACTTAGTATTATTTTTATTACTATTTTAATAAATAAAAACTTTTATATTTTAAAAAGATTGATAGATATTCCCAGATTTTTCTTTATTTTTTTAATTCACGCCGAAGTAAGATCCAAATTTTCATTAGATACTACGAAAAGTTCTAATTAAAGTTGTAGATATTATTAATGGCTACGATTTCTTGTAAGATAGTTGGCATGTACATTTAATATCCATCGAATCCGGTACGGGTAACGTTCAAAGATTAAATTTTTTATTTTTTTGTTAGTTTTATTCAAAGTGTAATTACTCCGCATGTAAGCATTTAATTTTAACACAAATTATATCAAATGATGGCTTTAGTTTAGGGAAATCTAATTAAAAAAAGTTTGTGAAATTTAGATCACCCATTGTGCTACAATTAGCATTTTAAGTTTAATAATTTTTTTAATAATTTCTAGTTGCACGGTGACTTTTGATACCCCACTGTAGTTCCGATTGTTTTGTATGTACACTATAAATAACACTCAATACGAAATGTCTAAAAGGATACATATTTTTATAAGTTTTTCAATTAAATAGCATATTCTATTGATATTATTTAACCAATCATGTATACCAGACAATGTTTCTGTTCCAAAATTTACTTTCAACAAATTTCCTAAAACGACTAAATTAATAAAAAAAATAATTAAATAAATTTTTAATAATTAAATTAAGAAAAATATAATTAATAAATCTTTAATAATAATAAAATTAATAAAACAAATTATTAAATAATTATTAGAAGTTATAGTGCCAGCAGCAACTGAGTCATTATTAAAAATGCCATTGAAGATAATTGAAAATCATTTTTAATTAATTAGGTGTTTTTTATGGTGGTGGAAGTAGATGATTATGCAAACCTCTACATATAATCACAATACAAGGGCATTGTTTTAAATCATATGGAGTTAAAGGAGTGAATAGTGTTTAATGTAATTTTTTATATTAATTACCACAATTTTTCACAGTTCGGAAAACAATTTTTCGGGCATTTTTTGGATACTTGGTTGTAATATAAAATCATAAACAATTCGTAATCGTAGCCACGATTAAAATTTTTTTTAATTTATATTTAAATCGTCAAAATGTTACTAAATAAACTTGTAAATAATAATAAATTGTACCTTCTATAAAATATTTAGTCAATTAAATTAAGATTGAGAAAGTTATTGGCATTTTAATTTGTGTGGTCATTTAAATCTTTGATCATTAATAATTCCTTTAATTTTGATGAAACAAACCAAAAATTTTATGTACAATACAGATTTTTATTATCTATAAGTTTATTCGAAAATCAAGTCATATAATTAGAAACAATTATATCCAGCTACGATCAAAAGATTATTTTCAATTTTATATTATGGAAAATTCTATAATTTGTGGTTGTTTCTATATATAAAATTTTTTAATTATATGACTTTAAAATTAAAACTTTACTAAGTAGACTTGTAGATAATAAAAATCTACATTGTTCATAAAAATATTAAACCCATTTCATTAAAATTGAGAGAATCATTAACGATTAAAATTTGAACGGTTGTACAAATTAAAGCGTCAATAATTCTCAATTTTGATTAAATAGTACTAAATATTTTACTGGCGGTACAATTTTTTTATTGTCTAAATACAAATTAAAAACTTTGTATGTAGCTAGGATTGCGAATTATTATTACAACCAAATCAGGTGTCTGATAGGCCATATACCCACCAATAGGGTACCCGAAAAAAAGTTGAAATATAAATTTTGACCTGTAAATGGTCCAAGAAAATCTTCTTACATTAAAAAATCACTTTACAACAATTCATATCTCAAATGCTGAATTTTCGATAAGATTATGCCCTATAAAAAGATACTTGACAAACAACTTTGCAAAGACATTATTCAGCATCAAGTAACTCCTGACTAACCAGTTGAATCAATTATTTTGTCAGCTAAATTCATCATGATTATGGAAATATCTTCTCATGCAGAAGAACTAAAAAAAAATACTTGAGACAATAATCCTTTAAAATGAGAGTATGTGTAGAGTTAAATGGATAGAAACAAAAGATAGTAAAATTCAGAGTAAAATGTAATTTAGTTCCATCTAAAGGTGATCAAAAGTGTGTGTCAGAGATTTAATTTATGTAAAAGGTAATAATTA